TTTTTTGGTAGATTGGCTTATGGGGTGATTTTGAAGGAGTAATTAAGTTAATCTTCTCATAAGTGGATGTAATATGTAGAGATGCCATCTAGGCCGTTTTTCTTCGTTTTGTTTTTTTTAAAGTCTACATTTTGCTTTACAAAAATGTGAAAAAGCAGCTGTGACCATTGTAAGCATAATTAATAGCGATATACTTCAGTTTGTCAGTGTGTTTTAGTATGCAAGAGGGTCTGCTGAGGTCTGCTGACAGACCAAAATGGCGGCGGTAGGAAGAAACCATGGGCGAGTCTGTTGCTATGGGGCGTTCTATTGAGCTTCGCCTCTTGGTATCCATGCTCTTTGGCCACGGACGAAATTAACGCGGAGCACGGACAGAAGACTCCGTCCGTATCCGGATCCGTATTTAACGTTGAGCATAAACGGGCCTTCAAGTTCGCTCCTGTTCCAAAAGCAGAAATGAGTGTACTCCCGTCCTCCCGTCCGAACTCGCCACGTCCACAAGTCCGAACTGCTGAACTTGTGTATTGAGAAACAGCTTCTGTGTCTTGGGACCGTTTGGAACCCACTTTGATTTTAGCGGAACGGAAGCCACATTTTTTACTTTTGCAGTCCGGACGACTTACGAGGGTGCACAAATGACTAATGGGGGCGTAAAGGGGTTCCTCCTGCAGCTGCTACGGGAGAGGTAGGGTAAGACATTTATTTCCAAAAACATCTCGTAGCTGCATTTTGTTTGGTTTCTTCTATACGTTTGAAAGGAGTAGGCTAAAGATCCACCAGCTAACGTTAGTTCAGAGCGCAATCCACCGGACATCGTGGGAACTTTCTGCTGCGGAGGTGAAACGTTAACGTTAAGTTTGAAGTCCAGTGTTCAGCGAGGTCAGTCCTCAGTCATGAATATGATCATCAGTTTCCAACAGATGTGTTGTGCAATGTGGGGTACGGATTGATCGGTGTTGCACATTAGTAATTTCCCTACAGGAATAATCCAGTAACATCGGGTCTTGTGGAACTTTGCGCGGGTGGACAGTTAGTGGTTAAATGACAACAGTGATGAAATTATGGATCATTTTCAGAGAGAGCTTTTTAGATTTGTTCTCATTGCGAACAGTTAATAAAATCCGTATTACGTTTAATAATGATGATGACTGACATGTTACCGTGATTATGTTTTGCAGAAACTTAATGAGTTAATGGTGCGGACGCTATGGCCATAGCCGTGCGTAATGGCCGTGCGTAATGACAGCTGTTCTGGCACCGTTGAAGAACCTCGCCGATGCGACACAGTTGGTAAAAATGCACTTTACTTATCGTATTTCACAGTGACAGGTCTGAGGAGTGGTAGAGCGGAAACAAATGTCGATATGGAAACGCATATTTGAGGGCGCTTCTAAGTTCATGTAAGTGGGAGTGGAAATGAGGCCCATGCACGTGCGCCCAGTTCCACATTTATTGAGATTTACAAACAGTTTCAGGCGCACGTGCGGCTTTATAAATCTGTGGATGAGAATGCGAATGCATAGGCTACTTCTCTCAGTGCGTACACATGCGTTTTATGTATCTGGGCTCATGTCTCTATCCCTGTAAAAAACATCTCTCAGTTAATAAATCAATGATGTAGTTTGGATTTTGAATAAAATAAGAGATTAAAATAAAACCGTGCACAGTTTGCATTTGTATTTCTTTAGATGTTCACCCGTGATAGTATTTCATATATTTAACCTTCTGTGAATTTTATATTTTATATTTTCCAGCATTCCTTATTCAACACAGTTTTTGCTTTCTACAAAAAAATCTGTATTTGCATTGATATTCGTATATATATGTATCTTCCATTGCATTTATATTATCCAAAGCAAAGTATTTATTACTCCTGCACTGCTCTTACAACCTTACATTTCAATACCTGCAGTGTCAACCACCTAAATTTGCACTACTATCATCAGCACATCTACTGTAGTAGTCCTTGGACACGACTATCATATCACTGCTGTTTATTTTTATTCTTTTGTTTTTATTCTTACACTTATATTTTCTGTCACTGTGTGTATCTCCGTTTTTGTATGTGTTGTGTAATAGGCCACTGGGTGCCTTAATTTCCCTCGGGATTAATAACATATCTATCTGTCTATATTTTCTCTCTATCTAAAAAGTAATAGCTATCACCTGCCTGTTTGTGTTGGAGGGGAGAGAGGAGTTGACAAACGCTCTATTTAAAACCACACACTGTCAGAGTCAGTGTAATGTGAGCTTCCCTGGCTCTGTCTGTGTGGGAGCAGCACAGTATCACACACCCCATCAATTCTCACCTACACATGCATGAAGAAAGAGGCCAATGACAGGAACCTCTGAATAACCTCCTCAACCAAACGTGATTAAAGTCAATGAATACAGTGATAGTATTCTCACTTCAGTAACCCCAAGTATGTACAAATGTGATTGAAAACACAAAATCATTCAAGCTTGATTTAGTGTCTCCAGAGTAGGGCTGGGTATCATTTAAAAAATTACAATGCCAATACCAATACCCTTACATCTACATAATATTGCTGAAACTGTCACTATATTCTGAAAGAAGAGACAGATACTCTGTTGCAAAAAATATCATGTTCCTTCTCCTCCTCCTACTGCCTCTAATGGTATTCACTATAATCTACTGTGGCATACCAGAAATAATAAATTAGAGCTGAGGAGTTTCTAACTCAGCTGACAATCAGAGACTATTGGGACAATCATGTCAGTCACAGCTTGTGAACTGCGGTCAAACCGTCAAACTAGGCAGCACTGATCAAATATGAATCAAGATTTTGTTACTGCATTGTCTATTTCTTTCCTCAAATGTTTTCAGAAACATATTTGAGTGTACTGTTGAGCTGTAACACAAGAAAGTTTGTGACCCAGCCACCATGTTGGAAACAGTCTGGTGAAAACTCAGCACCGCCCACTGGCCGGAGCAGACTTTCTCAGCGGTGTCTCGATACCACAGAAAACAAGTATTCAAACCATTCCAAATACTCAGAATTGATATATATTGAAAAAGCCATATTTTTGACAAAAAAAATAGTGAACTTACCCCTCTGTAAGTTAGCCCTTTGTAGCCATCATCCATTTTGAGGCCAAAGAGGACTTTAAATGGCTTAAATATGGCCCCAACACTCAAGTCTTGTTATCTTGCTAGCAGCTCTAGTTGTAAAACGCAGTTTGGACTGCTGGGTTACCTCTTTTTCTGTGGTCACTTCTCACAATCTGATTTCTGATACCTAAACTAACACAAACAAGTCTGCTGTGTCTGTTTTATATATTCTTTACAAATTAGGCTGTGTGTGTGTGTGTGTGTGTGTGTGTGTGTGTGTGTGCGTGTGTGCGTGTGTGTGTGTGCGTGCCCAGTCTCCCCAGGTGTTGGGAAGCAGATTACTGCCCTGCTGTTCTATACCATGAATGATGAGCCATGGACCAGATCACTTTCCAGCATGATACTGTGCTGTCTGATATTCACATGCTTCTGCCCAACGCACACCACCTTATGACACGCCTCAATGGTGTTGGACAGCCCGGTGTGTATGATTCCATCTTAAGTTTTACACTCCGTACTAAGTGTAAAATGAAATCCTGTGAATGAAAAGGTTGAACTCCAGTACCCAGTCAGCACTGAGGTTATGAGAGACATGTTTCAGTCATGAATCTTTGTCAGAATCAAGATCACAACATGAAAATCCCATTTTAATACTGCATCATGTCATTTTCAAAAGTCACATACTCCCAGTTAAACTGTCTTCCTTATCATGGCCATAATTTAAATTTATAATTTATCACATCACTAAAGCCCCACTTCCACCAAACACTGTTGATATAGTACCTTTGGAACCAAAAGTAACCCTTCAGACATGGTAGCTAGACGCTAGGTCGCTTTAGGGTTTCCACCGCAAACAGTTCTCTTTAATGTGGGCAAGTTTGTTGTCCCTCACTGCTCTGTCCAGCTCTCATTGTATTTCCTCATCACTGGGAGGGGAGGGAGAATGTCTGTAGGGCTGTAGTCTCCTGGTCGACTAGTCGATTATTTGGTCACTATGCTCTCATCCGACCAAATTCTCATTTGTCGAATAATCGCTGTGTTACTTTCATAAAGAGAAAAGTGCTACATCAATAGCTTTCCAGGATGAATCCATTATTTCCTGCGGCGGGGGGACAGGCTAAGTTGTTGACAGAAAGTTGGACTCGCCCACCCTGACGTTCAGCGTTGCGGTGACGCAGCCCTCCTGTCTGTTTCTGTAGGCTGAAACCATTTCCCTCAGTGGAAACAAAGCTTGTATTTACTTGTATTTCACAGATAAGAAACAATAAATTGTGAAGACAATAAAGCCTCCACTAAAATAACATTTTAAGTCTTGTGTGTGATTTATCCTTCAGGGATTTATACTTTGGGATTCATCCTGGCTTCATGAACAGAGGAAATCTCCGCTCGTCGCTAGGCTAATTTATACAATGTAAAATGCCATAGGCTGGTGCTAATAATGTTAGCATGTTGTATTTGCTTGGAAAACGTGTTTAGTATAAGACAGTTGTTTTGTCGGTGAATGTTGTGAGTTGTAATGGAGCCAAATTAAGTACCGTTACTTTTGTTACGTGTTGCTGTTGTCCCTGGTTTCATATGAGAAGAGGAAAAGCTCGCTAGTTGCTAGGCTAGTTTATACAATGTAAAATGCCATAGACTTGTGCTAATAACGTTAGCATGTTGTATTGGTGGGGGAAATGTGTCCAGATAAAGACAAGTGTGTTTCTGTCAGTTCTGCGATTTATAGTGACGTCAATTTGCATACTTGTGTTTGAGATTGTCTCCATTAAGCCATGTTTAATGTGTGTTTTGAATCAACTATAGAAATAAAGTTTGATTTGAACTAAGCTTTACAGCACTTAACACAGTCCTCCACCGCCGAAACAGTCTTCCACCGCCGACTAGTGTTTTGGAGGTGTAACTGCAGAGTGACACAGACACACCACCGCAGAAGTAAAAATAATGTGCAGATTTTTTTCCCCCCACGACTAATCGATTAGTTGAAGATTACGTGCGACTTTAGTCGACCAAGATTTTCTTTGGTTGACTACAGCCCTAGATGTCTGCACCTCATTTATCGTCCACAGATGGGGTTGCACACTGACATTTTCAGGACAAAATAGAACAGGTTGCAGTTAGAGCGTCTCTCGCTGGGCTAAGTCCTTTTCTGGCAAGCGCAGGGGTTTAGTGTTGCCAGAGCCCACAGGAATGACACTCCACAATGCTTTTGTTTTGTTTTTTTCTTCCTTCAAGTGAGTATTAGAATATATGCAGTTCACATAACCCGGTCAAAATTAATATATATATTTTTAAATGTTTGAAAATCCACTCAGGTCATCCAAGAGAGACAGTAAACTAATAGAATGGTCAAAGTTGTCATTCATATCGAAATTTAAGGTGTGTTGATGGATTCACGCTGTCAACTCATGCATTGAGGCAGAAAAACATCCTTTCATTTTATGGTTTACTAATGTATGTAAGACTTGAACATAAGCTTCAAAACCAGCCAAAACTCAGCCCTTAGTAAGAGTGACCATCCTCTATTGACCAATCAACGGACTGCAGTATTACTAGCTCCCCCTTTTAGTACCTGATCTGTGTGCTAGGTACCCCAACAGAGGGGAGACCAAAAATGGGGACAGTAAGGAATGTTTCCATTGGTACTATCCACAACTTTTAATAGTGTTGAATGCAACTATTTGTCAAATAGTTGATCATAAGACAATTAATTGGCAGCTGTTTGATAACTGTTTTGTCCTTTTTTAAAGAAAAGGGGCAAAATTCTCTGCCTTCAGCTTCTCCAGTGGGATTATTTTATCCTTTTCTTTGTTCGATATAATTGTAAAGTCAGCATTTTTAGGATTTTTGATGGTTGTTAAAGCAAATTAAGACATTTAAGATGTCAGCTTAAACTTGGGAGACTGGGGTGGACACTTTTTACTATTATGTGATGTTTTATATACTAAATGTTGAAACCATTTACTAATAACCCCCAGTGTCTGGATTGAGAGGTTTGTGAAAAACAAGGTGTGCCAAATTATGTAGTCTACAGCTGTTTGTTTATTCTGTCAGATATTTAATCAACATTAAGTTCAATGTAAGTATCAGTTTGGACTCTGTATCAGAAGATACCCAATATCAGAGTACCTGATCGAGACATCATTAACAGAGTATAAACAATATTTCCTGAATGCATTCCACCCTCTCTGCTTTTGGGGTAAAAGTAGAAAATTCACTAACAGACCTCTAGTTATTTAACACATTGTGATTGACAGTGCAGGATTTCATATCAATTTACAATCACTTTGATTGAAACTAAATAATCATGTTGAAATCAATCTAATTGTAGGAATTATTTTTCAGTATACACATTTTGCTATATATATCAAAATAGTAAATGTTGGTAAAAAGAAACTATTTCAGCATCCAAAAAATGATAATTATGACAATGACATAAAACAGAATCAAGCCTTCTAATTCGACTTTCTAAAGTTTTAACTGTTTGATGATGATTAAAGCCCCTCAGATGAACAATGATGAAATCAGTTTGTGGTGTGCAGGAATAAAACGTTCAATGTCCCTTTTCCATTTTATGTGTTCATTTCTTTTGTATATATTTTCACTCACTTTCTGACTTTGCTGTGTTCATCCATTTAGTCTTCATCTCTAAATTCAAGATCATGTCAGATGGTGAAAGGCATGACAGAAATGATCCAGGGGAAGGTTTGAAGGAGGTGGAGGAATACGATAAAAAAAAGGAAGACGGGGGAAAAGATACAAAAGTCGCACAAGGAAAAGATGGAGAGGAAGGCGGGAAAGGAAATGTGGAACCATTTTTGGATGAGGACGGAGACCTTGACATCATGCATCGGTATGGAAAATCTTGTTCAGTTAACAGTTTAAAAAAAGGTGGGCTGTTCTGTGAGGGTGTGTGCCATAATGGTTATAGTTTGAAACCAGACCAGAGGCCTGTACCACAAAGCCAGTTCAACTTACCCAGGCTATCTTTTGTGTTATCTGGCTTGACTAACCCGTAACATTCGCCATATGGATAACCGGTACTATGAAGCTGGCTACCAACTAGTTCAAATGACTCTGGTTTTTCCTATCCAGCCATGACTGTGTTCATGTGAAAGAGGCTGAGGTGTTAATTACGAGCGACATCATCAGAACCATGAATGAAGTAGGCTACTTCATACCATATGAGATGAAACGGTACCGAAAGTGTCGGAGATGGTGAGACAGTAAAATGTCAGTGGCGTGGGATGTAAACGATATTCTGCAATCTTACAAGGGAAAATATAAAAACATTGAAAATACTACCCAAAAACTCACCATCGGCCAAGACTTACTTATATACTTATATGTGACATTGGTATAGAGTATGCGTTGCTATTTAGTTGGATGATGATGAAACCACTCTGAATATGTCACATAAAACACCGTAGAGTAACACCAAACTATTTTTGGTACCATAGTAAAGTAAATGACTGGTGAGGTCTATCTGACTGAAGTGTTCAGATCCCAGTGGGACGCTCAGACTTTCAAGGGGCAGCCATACTATATACCAATCCTTAAACACATATATACCTTGAGGGGCTTTAGTTTAGTTGGAATGAGGGTAATATAAAAGGCAGGGGTATGCTAATCTGCTAAACACGCATAACAGGAAGTTTCATGTCATTTATCTATGGTGGAGTGTGGCGGTGAGGAGTCTCAGCCTGTGGAAAGAGGCTGTGGCTGGGTACAGGAACCTCACTGATATCACTAATGCTCAGTGGATGGGTAATATGATGATCACCTGCTGAAGAGCCCTTCTGCCCTGGGAGGCCACAACATGCCAGTTGTAATGTTTCCAGACACGATGCTTTCTATTGCTCTTCTGTAAAAGTAACAAAAGCTTGGCACAGGGATTTTGCCCTTGTAAGTTTCCTTGAGAACTACAGCAATTTCTGAGCTTTCTTAGAGATATTTAGATATCAGGTTCTCTGTGAAGCCAAATCACAGGAACACAGAACTGTTCACTTGCTCCATCTCAGATCCACTGATGCAGACAGGGTTGTGTGTCTATGCCTCCTTTTTATTGAGTCAATGATCATCTTCTTGGTTTTGCTGATGTTGAGCAGTAGGTTGTTCTCTAAGCACCACTCTGCTAGATGTCTCATTGATGTCTGAAATCTAGCTAATGATGGTGGTCTTGTCTGAAAACTTTACAGCAGAGTTCTCTCTGTGTTGGGGATTACATTAATGGGTGTACAGCGTGAACAAAAGAGGGCTGAGCACACAGCCGTAGGGGCTCCATAGAGTGGAGGAGGTGACAACGCTAATCCGGGCTATTGCAGTAGTCTGAGTTTGGTTGTTTTTTTTGTTGTTGTTTTTGTCGAATATTTGACCACATCTACTCAGGTTTTTTATGTACAGAATAACAGGTTGATAGGAATGTACCCACTGGTTCAAGATGGAGAGAGCTCTGTATTTGATTGTATGATTGTCACAACCTCAAACACACCTAGTTCTGATATGTGATGAGTTATTCTTTCAGGTCTCTCATCCTCATTTACAAAACTTCTTTGACATTTTCAGCCTAATGTGTATATACAGGGGCGACACGGTGGTGTGGTGGTTAGAACTGTCGCCACACAGCAAAAGGGTTCCTGGTTTGATCCTGGGTGTGGGAGCCTTTCTGTGCGGAGTTAGCATGTTCTCCCCGTGTCAGCGTGGGTTCTCTCTGGGTACTCCGGCTTCCTCCCACAGTCCAAAGACATGCAGATTGGGGATAGGTTAATTGGTGACACTAAAGTGTCCGTAGGTGTGAATGTGAGTGTGAATGGTTGTCTTTCTCTGCATGTCAGCCCTGCGATAGTTTGGCGACCTGTCCAGGGTGTACCCTGCCTCTCGCCCAATGTCAGCTGGGATAGACTCCAGCCCCCCCGCGACCCTCAAGAGGATAAGCGGTTAGAAAATGGATGGATGGATGGAAGTGTATATA